CCAACGTGGCTCAAGACAAAACTATGCGCCAAGGCATTTGAAGCCAATCGTAGACTCTTACACAAATGAGTGTGTTTGTGGAGGCGTACTCGCACACGGCCGCTTGTTCGTACACGCGTTTAAACAATTGGACGGATGTGTACGCACCAGCTCATACGCGCCATCGACCGATGGATGTGTACAAATAAAGACAAAGATCCTGCGTATAGGCTTAACAGACTGTTGGGGCAAGTGCTGCTAGCGAGCACGTGAAGGCCGGCACGGCACACGAGGGGGTGGGTGGCCAACACCACGCCCGGCCGCCTTTGTCTCCCTAGTGACGATGTTTACACACCGCACCAGGTACTCATTTGAGGCTGAGTCGACCTAGGGGATGCCCAGAACCGTTTCAGATAATCGTCACCGGTGTTGGCCGTGAATAGAACCCGGATCGCCAGGTTCACAGCGCACTAACCGCTTCACGACCGCTCCCCACGTGACGCGCACACAGAAAATCACACGACCGTGCGACAACACATGCAGACACACGCACACACACGTGTGTGAATACTGGCACGCACGTTTCCAGGGACACACACAAACACGCACACACATTCCCGTTCAAGAATCCACCACACACACTCCAGTGCCATCTGGCTCCTGCCACTCAGCCATTCTTAACAAAACAACGTCCAGCGTACCCACCCTATCTATTTGGCCTCCCAGAATGTTAGCATCTACTATCGGACATTCGGACCCCGTGACCTATTCGAGCTTGGGGGTTGTTGTGTCCACTTTCATTATAGCGAGGGTGATGAAATGAAACTCTACCCCTCGTAGAACACAGTTTTGTTTTTGTAGGAGGTAAAATTACAGCCAGTCCAGCATAATTTACAACGCTTTATTTTTTTTATTCTATTTTTATGCAGAGCAAGAATGATGTTTGTATGTTGAACTTCTTTCGCACCGTACGTAGCCAACCGTGCTAATCAGAAGGTAATATAACTATACATTAGAACGATGTAATTTTGTATCATGGGAAATCCAATACAATATTGCATTGTGCGTAATACAGTAGACTATGGCATTGTACATACAACAATGTGATACTGTGCATAATACAATGCTGTAATATTACATGTGCAATTGTAGTTACTGCATTGTACATAATGCAATTTTACAGAATTAATTTACAAACCAAACATATTGTAAAACATGTTTTTTGTAATTTTGTTATTGTAACGAGCCTGAAATGTATCTTTGTAGAACTTATTTATCCAAAAATGCTAATCGGCGGTGCAAATAACAAATAAAAGCCACGCGTTTTTGCAACGTCTTCAAACACGCCAACGCGCTACTTTGCACGAACGTCTCGATGCAATATTGCGGGAGATATATATTTTTTTATGACTGCCACACCTTTGCGGCAAGCTCAGATTTAATGTTGCGGAGGAACTGCGCCACCGACCAGCAAGGGGCGGTGGGGGCCTGGGAACCGCAGGGCCACGGAGGCGCGCGGTGATGCGGCCCGTGGTGATTTTAGACCTCGCGCAGCGAGCACGTGATCACGCTCCCAGGGCGAGCCGCGTCCGACCCAGGGATACGCTCAGCCCCGAATCAATTCTATAACCTTGTCTGGCTTCTTCGTCGTTGTCGTCTTTCGTACGGCTGTTGTAGATGCAGGGCAACTACAATGTCACATTCAGGTGGTCAAGCGGGATAACGGCGTCATGAGCAGTAGCGGAGTGGTATCAACGCCGTGATGTTTCCTTTGTATTTGTGGATCGGGCATTGCGTCGTTGTACGGTCTCTGTTCTGGATGACCACAGTCGTGGCACACTACTGGAGAATTTTTAATTCTACATCCGTGCATCAGGTATCCGCGTCTGCCCCGACCTTGTCCTTGTAACCAGACGAATGCCTTCGTAGAGAGCGGGCTTGCCAGAAGCTCATCAGGGCCGACAGTTCACCTTCGTCAGTACCTGTGATTTTAACAAAGTTGTTAAACCTATCTCGGGTAACTCAAGCCTTGTTGAACTCTACAGTAACCTACCTGCATGCAGCTAATAGCACAATTATACACGCAGTTATTTTTAACAGTATTCAATACAGTATATATAAACACATACAGAGTGTAGTCACGTGTGTAATTAAGAATGTGTGTAAAATTGGTGCGGAAAGTGGTCATATGGTGGTTAGTGTACCACGCGAACACTCCCAGCAAACCCAGGATTTATTCCTAATGATGCACACATCATCGGTGGCAAGTGGTTGGTGAACACGTTCTGGGCCTCCTTTAGGTCAACTCAGCATTAAATGAACAATTGGTGCAGTGGGGGTATACATCAGATTTAGATGGGGAATGGTCGCAATTTGTTTCTTAATGATCACATTAGGGCATCATAGAAATGTGCTAAGAATATGCAAGCAATGTGGCTTGTACCAGCATGCAAAATTCAACATGCTCTATTTATGAAAAGGAGTTAATTGCGCGATTGTTTATGGGATGCTGCCGTGGGGTAATGGTTAGCAGCACACTGGACTTCACTCTAGAGTGTGCCGGTTCGACTCCATCTCCCAGCACGGCAGTTAACACAATGGAACCAGTTTCTTACATCCTCCTGCCTCCGTCCACCCAGCAGTGTGAAGGTGTTCACCACGTCCGATCGTCAGGTCACGTGTGGTGGGGTAAAGTGTGGGCACTCCCACCGCTTGCAAGACGTCTGACCAGCGTGGAAGAGTAGGCCAAAAACCATCTAGAGGAGTCATTTTGAGCTCTCATCAATAATGGCGTGAGCAAAGAATATCAGCGCTGCGCCTTAATCTTTCACATGGCTCTTTGCATTCTAGGTGTCCCAGTGCTGCAGAAGAAATGTAAAAAATCCAATAAATACTGCGGTGGAAAAATCCATATATATGTTTTATATAGCACCTACTTGATGTTTATAAGGACGTATATATTGACTTTGCCTTGTCAGCATTTCCTCATCCCGTGCGTGTTAGTTACGGGCGTGCGAAGCACCCAAAGTAACATCGGCTGCCAAGGCTTTGGAAAGCGAGTCTGCGAAGAGTTACAGAGAGTCGATCATTGGAATCGTTCGATAATTGGAATCATTTGCACTGGCAGAGTCGTGCTTACGGACGGCCAAGCGCTTTGTCTTGTCTTCCTCTGCAGTCGGCAGTCTGCCATGAACGCGCCCACCCATTGGAGCTGCCTGCCCCGCCACCGATGCGGTTCTAAGCGTCTCGTTAATAATTCAACCGTAAAGCCCAGCGTCTTGATATTTGCGAATGCGCATTTTGTCCATTCGCATCTCATCGTAACGCTTCAACATCTACTTGTGTTACCGTTGTTTGCCATAGATGCACACACCATGTGTTCCAGAGTGTGTGTGTGTCGCACAGTCTGTTTGCTCAGCAAATTCATTTTGTACTCTCATTGCCTCTGACGGTCCCCTGTCAGCATTTTAACCTTGATTTTTTTTAATAAGAATCTGAGTGTTCGGTCTCACGGTCCCAACATTTCAAGTTTGAGTGGAAGTGTTTTTTTGGTGATTACATTTTTATTGCAGAGTGAATTATTGCATCCAAATGTAACAGATTAATTTCATTAATTGATCATTTTATTTTTGATTTAAAGCTTTCGTGACTGCAGGGATTCATATTCTTGGTTCTTTCGGTAAAGTCACGTAGAAGGGAAACAATAAAATAATAAAAATATAAAACAATGAAAATCTCACGACGTTTCACACCTGATGATTGCTTGTGTTGCAGTCGAAACGTCGTGTGAATTTTATTGTTTTATATTTATTTGATTTTATTGTTTCCCTTCTACGTGACTTTACCGAAAGAACCAAAAATATGATCATTTTCTATCCATGCTTTACGAATCGTAAAAAGTATTCGCTTGCACTACAGTGGTCTTATATATAATGGAACATATATAAGCTAAACAATGATATATCTGGGTGGGACAGTGCCACAGAAGCTAGCAGCATTGTACAATCATCCCTGTGGCCCGAGTTAAATTCCTAGCAATAACCAACATGAGTGGCCGAGTTTTATTTAAACCGGTTCTACCCCCTCCCACAATTCACAAGCGGCCCTGACCGGTGTCGATTCATTTTATGGTCAAAACAACCCCGATAATTGAATGGTGTGGGGGGAGGCCTTCAACCAGCAGTGGCTGGATGATGTAGCATAGTGTTCTTTACTAATTTTCAGAGGGGGGGGGGGGGAGCCACTTTAGCCGATAAGACATCATCAGTGTGTGAGTGCTGCCACACATTTGAAACCATTGATGAGGATGGGGGGGGGGGATGTTTTCACATGTTGTGTATTGTTGGGGGGGGGGGGCGCACGTTAGGGGCCGCACTGAAGGCCACCAGGGGCTGCCAGTGGCCCGCGAGCCTTAAAATGAATGCTGCCGTCGCGTATCTGGCCACGTGGAGATGTATGCGGAGCTCTCGTGTCACGGTCGGACGGTTGCAAGTTCACGTCAAAGTCAGCGGCTGACTCAGATCAGTCTCCCCTTTGTCATAAACAAATCCACATTCTTCATTCAAGCATAGGATCAATGTATCTTGAGGCCCTATATCGGCACAGCTTCCCATTGTTAATGTTGATGATGACCCTCCGGTGTGACTGCCAGCAGCCACAGCTAACCAATTATTAAATGCGTACAATTGTGTCAAAAAATGGACAGGTGACAACAGGGAGACCACGTGTACGTGATCTTAAGAGTGACCTTATTCCTTCACCCCCCCCCCCCCCTTCAATGGTTCAATTGCGTTGTGATAATTTTTCGCGAACCGCGTCGCCTGGTTGAGCGAGAGCTCTTGCGACGTGCTGTAACGAGCTCGCGTGTCATTAAAATAAAAGGAAAAGAGCGACCTCCAGAAGTAGCCACTGCTGACAGGGTTCACTCAAGGCTTGGAGTGCAGCTTGACAAAAATGTACTCCTCTGTGTTTCATTGTTTGAGAGCGGAAGGGACCAACGATTTACGATTTTGCATTTGCAGGCTCGCTGAAGACCCACCCAAGCCATGACCTGCTTCTAGAAAATGATTTATCGGTAAGCAGATGAACAGTCCGGCGTTGTGAAAACGGCAAGACGCCAAAGCAGCCCCCAAAGAGTCACTAGGGTTGACCTTCTAAAGCCAGCAAAATGTCATGAGACAAATTAAGCAAACAGTACACACAGGGCACTGATACAGGTTCCTTACAACAGACCTGGAATCGTTCCTCAATTTGCACAATGTCCTCGTCCCAGGATGCCGCTAGATATATCGCTATTCCAAATTTAGTTACTGGGGAAACCCAAAAGGTCCACTACGTCTAGCGAAAAAACTCGCTCGGCTGGCGACACTGTCGAGGAAGCGCTGGGCATGCACAGCAACAAAGCACGACCCCTAGCGATGACATCCTCAGTCTACTTTAGGGCACTGAAGTTTTACTGCTGCCGAGGGCGCTCTTGCACTACTCACTACTGAACACATTTCTATTCTCAAGCACTACAGTGAAACGCGGAGGCATAGCGCGCTGTAGAGATATACGTTCCCATTAAAACAATACTCTCGTAGCTTCTTTGGGCCTAGATATTCTTTGGGTCTTTCGGCAAAGCCACGTAGATAGAAAAAATATCACGATTGCTTGTGTTGCATCAGGTGATAACGATTGCTTGTGTTGCGATCGAAACGTCGTGATATTTTTAGTGATATTTTTTTCTATCGACGTGGCTTTACCGAAAGACCCAAAGAATATGAATTCCTGCAGTCACGAAAGCTTTAAGTCAAGGCCTAGATATTGTTTCACAGATGGGTGGTGGATCGTGCAGAAATAAACGGAGCTTTGTAATACAAATACTTTCGCTGTATATTCTTGTTTTTTTCGGTAAAGTCACATAAAAGGGAAACAATAAAATAATAAAAATATTTTTTTATTATTTTATTGTTTCCCTTCTACGTGACTTTACCGAAACAACCAAGAATATGAATCCCTGCAGTCACGAAAGCTTTAAATAAAAACTTTCGCTGTAGTTAAAAGGTGTTCTCAATGAATAAGGTAATCAGCAAAGGTACTTTAGTAGCACGGTGGCTTTATAGCTTGCACAGAATTAAAGAGTCTTGTGACACGAGTGGAACCGATTGTCATTTTATAACCCAGCCAATGTCCGTTACTTACCAAAGTGAATTCATATTGAAATGCAATTCCTCTATTGTACAGAAAGCCTGGGTACTATGTCATTGGGACAGAAAGAGAAGCAAATTATTTGGGTATATTTTAACCTCATGATTTATAACACAAAGGCTCTTGTGAATTACGGCACAAAGTTAGACATTCACTTTATGGCAAACGGTGAATGTTAGAACTCTCCTAAGGGAAATGAAGTCACGTGATGACACTAAGTCTTGATTTAAAGCTTTCGTGACTGCAGGAATTCAGACTCTTTGGGTCTTTCGGTAAAGTCACGTGGATAGAAAAATAATAATAAAAAGATAGAAAACTAATTAAATTTTCTTTGTTTTCCTACGTGACTTTACCTAAAGATTTCGATTTAAAGCTTTCATGACTGCAAGGATTCATCTTCTTTGGTTCTTTCGGTAAAGTCACGAAGAATGAGAATAAAATAATAAAATAACACAATAAAATTCTCACAACGTTTCGGCCACAACACAAGTGGCCTTCTCGAGACAGTCTCGTCCCTTCACCTGATGAAGGCCACTTGTGTTGTGGCCGAAACGTCGTGAGAATTTTATTGTGTTATTTTATTTTATTATTTTATTATCATTCTACGTGACTTCACCGAAAGAACCAAATAAGATTTACCTAAAGAACCAAAGAGTATAACACTAGCCAATCTGACGCAAGCATTATTGATAAGAATCTACTGAATATAATTCCTATTTACAAAACTCTGCATTAATATAAATTTTCAATAACATTTGCACGAATAACATGCTCAAATAGATTGTGGTAATTGAATTAACACATACACACTTCTTTGTGAATACAATGAGGAATGTTACTTTCTAAAAATAAATCTCCACTTAAAAATAAATATTCCAAGGTTCACTCCTCTTCCCATGCCCTCGCTGCCACTGCTCTGTTTACCATCCACACTCTTTGTCGTCACGTCTCGTGTAAGTTTCTCAGTTCTTTCGTCAAACAACACCAATGCAAGCGGATTCGCAGTCACGGTGGCGAGATGTTAAATACCTCGCCTGATATACAGGAGGCCGTGGGTTCAATCTCGACCCCAAGACCTGTATAAGTGGAGTTTGCATGTCTCTCTCCCCGTGGTAGCGTGGATTTTCCTCTGGTTTTTCCCTCCGCATTTAGAATGAACGTCACACGTTTAGAGTATTTGGCTGCTATAAATTTCTGCACGATGACAAGCCACTTAGTTGAGCGATAATTTGCGAAAGCCAGGTCGCTTCTGCAAAAAAAAAGAGCTACATAGCTCAAGTGGGCCCCTTACCTGGGGTAAAATAACGGCAACAAGATATATATTCCCACTCGGAATCACGGGCACGCCCAGGACACGCGCGCGTTGGTAAGCTTGCTGATTTTGTCGTCTCCGTCCTCTGTGCAGTTCCACGAGGATCCCGTGGACGTACCAGACAATTACCGACCGCCGCCTCAGGGCTCCTCCCCCGTGTACGACCCCCCGCTCGAGTATATAGACGCGGTACGTTCTTCCCCCTCTTAAGCCGTTCTACTTTTGTGTTTTTTTTTTTGCTTTGTTTTGTGGTGCTTTTAAAAAAAGTTGTCCGTTTCTTTTTAATTCAACGTGGACAACCGGGGCAGATCGTCATTTGTCCCTGGAGGCAACCAAAAGCGCTGCTGAAATAAATTCACATTCTGGTCATCGTTGAGCAGGGTGATAGACAAACTCATGGATATTAAATTGAACTTCATTTGGCTTTACCATTTCCCGTCAAGAATAAATTAGGTGATAAGATGCTCAAACACCAAATAGACACACACCTATTGCAAGGCATCATCAAGTCTGCATTTACCACACACATGCATGTGGTAAAAACATGCAAACAAATGTGCTTTGATAATGTGTTTGTCTTCGAAACGGCTTATCCTCCACCAGAGGCATCCTGCTGTGTGGCCTTGTCTCACCACCAGTGTTGGAGCAGTGAACGACAAAAGGCAAACAACACAGAAGCATTTACAGCTCAGGGTTGAGCAACTATATCCTATATCTTAACACCTCCTGTATTATTGTGGGAAAGGATAACGCCTCTTTTTTGTTTGGCATATTGGCATAAAGGGTTCCGTAGATATCAACGTTATTCATTCGTATTTTTTTTGTCACGCAAAGATGCGAGCTGTAAGCGTGCATTCCATAAGAGGTTTTTTTTGGTTAGATCGCGTAAATATCGTAAATATGAGTTCTCCAACACACCGGTGTGCTGTACTAGTGATAAACTGGCCTGTTGTTTACGTGACAACCCTTCCTAGTTGGCTGTGTCGGGTGGTGGGGGGTTTTAACGACACATTTATATATTTACGCGATATAACCCAAAGAAACCTCTTATGGACATGTCGCGAAAGCCTACGTGTTAAGCGTGCATTCCGATTGCACGTAAAACGCTTTGCCATTCAAACACCCAATGTGCAATTGAAAACCCGGCATAATCTATTCCTTTCTTTTTCTACTTCCCTACAGTCAAGTAAGGAGCAGCTTTCAGAAGATTTTGTCAGGAGTTGGAAGTGCGCCTGCACAGCCAAGAAGGCCATGGCTACCTCTGACGTTTCGGTGACTTCTGGCAGCGTTGAGGTGACGTTGGCGCGTGCCCTCACTTGCACCTCACTCTGCAGCCGGGGGGAAAAGAGCGTTTGTTGGATCGTCATGACACGATACCTTTTTAACGGCAGCAGGCGCTTTGTCAGGGGTTACGTTCAACTGACATTCACATCGATGCGAGGTGCCATCATTGGCATGACAAGAGCAATCCAGTATTGACGATACACCGAAGAAGCAGTCAAATATTGACGCATGGTATATTGATCAGTACAAAATGTATCACATTAACAGATAACTCCCCCTTCCCAATATTAACAACTGAAGCTCTTCTCTTTCTAGAACTAATATAAGCAATATGACCCCGACCCCCACGCCTTAATCTCTACAAAGCAAAAGAGGGATTGCCACCAGTTCCTGGGTGTTTGCTCTCGTTCTATTTTTTAAGTGGCCGCTGTTCTGGGAGATCTGTAAGTCCTCCAAGCATGTCCAAAAGTCCCAGTTCTTGTCAGTTGCGAATTAATAATCATGACGATGATGATACACCACTCAAGATGATGCATTTACCTTTTGTTCTCCATAATCTGGTTACAGGGACGTTCATGTCAATATCGATGTAAAGCCCATGGTGACAGGTATAGCTCCTATGTAGGTTGAACTTCTTTCGCACCGTACGTAGCCAGCCGTGCTAATCGCAGGTGCATTTCATACCCGTGCTGCGTGTGTCTGTTCAGGAGTTTGATGCGGACGAAGTTGTGGAGGTCCTTCTAGATAAGGAATCCAGCAAGGCAGCTGCAGCTGGAGCGACTGGCCTCGAAATCAGTGGCGGAAAGGCTGATGGCATCTACATCAAAAGAATCAAGAAGAACACATCGGCCGCCAAGAGCCATAAGATTCACGAAGGTGAGAGCAAACTTCCGCTTTGTGTCTGAACTCTTTAGAGGCCATAAGAGGCCCTCTTTAGAGGCCCTTTTTTTCAACTTATATTGAGTCATGTACAGAGAAGGCGAGTGCATCTGCCGCGTGTTTTGCAGACGCGGGCTCAGTCGGCCGTATTTTACGTTAGATTAAAAAGCCACGAGGATCTTAGTTGGGATCACCAATGAGGTCCTTGTTCATTATGTTGAGGTTGTTACAACTCTTTCTGACGTTGGGTCATCGGGGGGTGGGGGGAACCCTGAATCTTGGAGCTCTTCCACTGAAAGCCACAATTGTTTCCTGAACGTGGGTCTCAGTAAGTTACTTCTATATTCGTGCATTGGAAGGTCCTTGTTTCCTCCGGCTAAATGGGTCGCCCAGAAGTTTTACCATGGTGCGATGAATTTGAGACGGGCAAACGGTCGCCACACTGGGAATCCCATGGATGTGTAGTTGATGTTACGATGGTTGTAATGATCTGCATGGCAGATAAGTGGACAGTCGTTGAACGGTGTGTGGGAGCTGTGTCTAAACGCATAAGAAATATTTTGCTGCAATATTTTTGACGTTGCCTGGACTTACTTTTATTCAGTTGAATGCCGTACAACTCGGTACCTCTGATTATTACGGTTGGCTACATACAGTGCGAAAGAAGATCAACGTATGTATATACACACATACAACTCGGTTGTAAATCAAAGTATCTTTTCCTCCACATTATGAGGATATTGGAGAATAAATAGGAGCGTAATACTCGCAATATTATTTACTGAGCTGATTTACTTGCTTTGTTACTTGATTGTTCTGGCTGTACAAATATTGTTCTGGCTCTGGCAACTGAGGTAAAGACCTAAGACCAAGGTGGTGGGGTTTCTGTCAGGGCAGAGCCAGGAGTTTGAGTGTTGACGATGCAGCAAGGTGTGGTTGCACCAACAGGTCTTGTCCATGATGACATCATCTTATTTTGTCCACAACCGTAACCTCCACTCCAAAAATGTAATTTTCACGTCATTCTCTAGAAATTAATGCAATTTGAAACTCTTTTGTTGACAATGTGATGAAGTGGTGATTTTCTCGGGTCTAGGTGACCAGATTCTAAGTGCCACTGTGTACTTCGATAATATGAAGTATGAAGATGCCCTCAAGATTCTACAATACTCGGAGCCTTACCAGGTTGGGTTCCGTCTCAAGAGGAAACATGGAACCGCAGCCTCCGATTTGGAAGCTTCAAGTTCTTTTGGATCAGCTGATGTGGATGTAAAGGGCTTGAGAAGGGTAAGTGCCTTCATTGCTTGTGATGAAAACAACTTTGAAACAATATGCACAGTGTAATAAGTGATACCTATTTTATTGTATTGAACAAGAGCCCATTACAAAGCACGAGCGATAGGGGAAAGGGGTACAAATATGATGTAAATTTTACACCTTGCACAATTAAATGTCGTCGGGAAGGGATGATTTAGAAACAAAATTGGTAATATCTTTGTGCAAAGAAAAACCAAATGCACATTCGCAAATGGCATCGGTGGAATAATGCCTTCACTCGGTAGTAGATACATGTTGAGGATTTTCTTTTTTTACGAATGCATTTCACTGCATTGAAATACCATATTGTTAAATATCTTTATTTTACATTTGAGTTGCGGCTAATGTGTTATTTTAGTAATTTTAATAACCTTAATGATATACAGTCAGATTCCATACACTGTGATATTACCTTCATAACATAAAATGCAATTTTATCAAAAACAACAAAAGTTGCGCTAAAATCTCATGTTTTTCAGTGAAAGTAGATTGCATCATCATAACAGAGGTCAACTAGTAAGGGTTGTCACGTAAACAGAACGTGCCAATTCGTCACTCGTACAGCACACCGGTGTGTTGGAGAGCGACAGACAGATTTCAAATCTGGCTGAGGCCTGATGAAGCTAGTTGTAATTAGTGGCGAAACGTCGTACTCAGATTGTAAATGTTGTGGCTTGGCTCTCCAAATCACCGATGTACTAGTGACGAATTGGCATGTTCTGTTTACGTGACAACCATTACTATTCTTGGGTCTTTCGGTAAAGTCTTGTAGATAGGTTCAAAAAAAGTAACAAAAATAACAAAAAACTACATTTCGATTGCAACACAAGCAATCGTCATCAGGAGAAAAAAGAGTGGGAAAGCTGCTGAGACAGGCTGTTTTAAAGGTTTGCAATGGGTGTAGCCCAAGGGTCATATATTTAGACACAGACACAATTTCACCAAGAAGATGGGTACAAACTGAGCAATCATTGGAAGGACGTTATCAACCAGTTTAAGTCATAACTGGCTGTGATGTTTCCATCCTACCTTCCGATGTTAGTAGTTATTTTCGACTCTCTGGTTTTACATTAACAGGTTAAATGTCTCACACTAACACAGCCACCGTCGCTCGTGTCCTCAATGTGGCGGTGGCTCTGAGATCTTACATTGACATGCTAATCTCTGATTTGACATTAACAGATTAAATGTCTCACACTAACACAGCCACCGTCGCTCGTGTCCTCGATGTGACGGTGGCTCTGCGATCTTACATTGACATGCTAATCTCTGATTTTACATTAACAGGTTAAATGTCTCACACTAACACAGCCACCGTCGCTCGTGTCCTCGATGTGGCGGTGGCTCTGAGATCTTACATTGACATGCTAATCTCTCACAATACAATGGCCACCTCCGCGCCTTCATTGTCGTGGAGGTAGCTCTCCGACCTTACATTGTCATGTAAATTCTCACTTTAACATCACTAGCCCCGCCCACTTCGTTTATGACCCTTGGGCTACACCCATTTCAAACCTTGAAAACAGCCTGCCTCGGCAGCTTTCCCACTCTTTTTTCTCCTGATGACGATCGCTTGTGTTGCAATCGAAACGTCGTAGTTTTTTTGTTATTTTCTTTGAACCTATCTACGTGACTTTACAGAAGACCCAAAAATATGAATTCCTGCAGTCACGAAAGCTTTAAGTCAAGATTTAGCCCTTACTAGTTGACTGTGTCGGGTGGTGGCGGGTTTTAACAAAACATTTATATGTTTACGCGATCTAACCGAACAAAACCTTATGGATGATATTGGTCGCGGAAGCCTACATGTTAAACAGATTGCATCATAATTACATGTGTTAAGCGATTGAATCACATGACAGATGTGCAGTGTTTTTTTTTTCCTGTAGGTACAACTGTACACTGTTTTGTGTTTTTTTAACAGACTGGTCAAGGAGACATACATTCAAAGAAACACAAAAAGAGGGCGAAGGCAAACGAAAATGTGTCGGGAGAAGACTCCGAGATGAAGTCACCCGAAATTCCGGACGTGGAGCTGTCGATGCTGAAACTTCCGAAAATTAAAAAGCCACAAAAGTCGAGCAGCCTCAGATTCTCAAAGAGCAGCTCCGAATACGACGAGGAACTTCAACCCCAAAATGAGGCCGGAGGTGAGGCCCATTTTGTTGAAGGTGACTCTCCGAGAGGAAAAGGGAGAAAAATAAAGTTAAAAATGCCACGGATACATTTTGGGGGATCAAAAACTAAAACTCACAAAGCCAGTTATGACGTAACATCACCAAAGCATGCAGGAGCAGACCCCACTGGGGGAGAATTGCAGGGAGAATTTAAACAAATTTCTGATGTCCCTGGTTTGATGGTAAAGGGAGCAGATGCCAAAGTAGAAATGCCTTCTGTGCACGTACCTTGCACTGAAATTGATCTTGATACTACTCTACCAAAAAAGGACAGTGGGGTAGAATTCCCAGGTGGAAAAGCAAAAGGCTTTCAATTAAAAATGCCAAAATATCAAATCACTATGCCTAATGTTTCTGGGACAGATATTGGTGTGAAAGATATGAAAGATCCGACATTCCAAGGTGATATAAATGTTGGTATTGCCACTGATAAATCTGATGTGGGATTTGAAGATCAAGGAGGCAAACCTGTAATGCCAGTAATAAAATTCCCAAAATTCAGCATCCAAACAACTGATCTAAATATTGATGACAGCACATCAAAAACTGAGATTTGTGCACCTAAACTAGACATTTCTACAGATGTTGATGTTAATGTTAAAGATGGATTTGGAACACATTTCAACATGCCAGAAGCTAGCACTTCCAAAGTAAATGTAGTTGGGCCTTCAATCACAACTATAGAAGGGGGTGTATCACTACCAAAACCAATTCAAGATGGGGAATATTCAATAACTTCAGGTGCTGCAATAAAAATGACAGATGTTGACACTTTAGGACCTGAGCTCAAAGACACAGGTATGGTTTCACCAATATACACTGTTGAAAAATCCACTTCTAAACTTAGAACAGAAACAAAATATGTTGAAGAAGTAGACATCAAAGGATTTAAAATACATAGTAGAGAAACTAAACTCAAAATGCCACATTTCCATATATCTGGGCCTAAGATTGATGCACCAGATACCAATATTGATCTTAATGCACCAGAGTACAAAGCGGATGACATTTATCTGCAGAGTGGCATAACGGGGCCAAGAGTTGAATTTGGTGCAGATACCTCGGGCATCGATATTAAAGGTCCAGATGGAAAGTTTAAAATACCTAAATTTGGAATTAGTGGTCCATGCCTAAAAGATTCTGAAATAAATGTAGACTCGAGTTTTCCAACTGCTAAAGTTAGCATAAAAGAGAAATTCCCCCAAACAGATGTGGACATGACTGTACCAAAAGTACCAATAGAAATAGGGAGTGACATCAAAAGCCCAAAAGTTGGAATTGATGCTGCAGGTCCAGATGTAAATATAGAAGGTCCAGAAGGAAGGTTTAAAATGCCACAATTCAAAATGCCAAAGATCGGTCTTTCAGGTCCTGGTATTAAAGGTTCTGACATTGATGTTGATGTTAATCTGCCCAACATTAATCTTCCCAAGGCAAATGTTAATATTTCCGCACCCGATGTTGAACTTGACATAAATGCACCTAAAGGGAATATTGATGTTCACAATCCATACATGAACTTAGAAGATTCAGAAACAGATGGGAGAGGAAGTAAATTTAAAATGCCCAAATTTAATGTTTCAGCTCCAAAGATTAATGCACCAGATGTCAGCTTTGATTTTAAAGCACCACATTTTAAAGCTAAAACAGATGCCTCTACACCAAAACTTGAAGCCGATTATAAAGACTCGCACGTGGACTTCAGAACATCAAAAGGATCAGATGCAAATATTGAAGCTCCTGAAGGCAAGTTTCATATGCCAAATATAAAAATGCCCAAAATAGATATATCTGCACCTAAATTAAAAAGTACCGACACAAATATTGATGTAAAAGTGCCACTGACTGATGTTGACATTTCTCCAATTCCTCATCTTAAAGAAAAAGTGCCCAAAGCTGACATTAATGTGGAATCACCTCATGTTTCTCAAAAAGGGTCTGAAATTGATGGCAAAGGGTTCAAATTGAAAATGCCAGATGTTCACTTATCTGGGCCCAAGATACAAGCACCTTATGTTAGCCTTGACTTTAAAGAACCTGAAACTGATATTTCTGTTCCTACTCTGGAAGGGGACAAGAAAGGACCTTATGTGGAATTTGGTACTGATATACCCAATGTTGACGTAGAAGGGCCTGAAGGTAAGTTTAAAATGCCAAAATTTAAAATGCCAAAATTTGGCATGTCTGGTCAGAAGTTCAAAGGTAGTGATATAGATGAAGATGCAATGTTATCAAAGCCTGAAATTGAAATAAATGAGCCTGATCTTGAGATTTCTGCTAATCCTCCTGATGTGGATGTAGGTGGCTTGGATGTTGAACTTGATATGGAACATAAGGGTTTAAAATTTAAAAAGCCCAAGTTTAATATTTCAGCACCAAAGGTAAATACACCACATGTAGGAATAGACTTCAAGCCTCCACATTTTAAAACCAAAGATGATTTTTCACCGAATGTAGAGGGTAACATTAAAGGCCCTAATGTAGATATAAATGCTGAAACCCCAATCAGAGATATAGAAGGGGCAGACAAGAAATTTAAAATGCCAAATTTTAAAATGCCTAAAGTTGGAATGTCTGGTCGAAATATAAAAGATTCTGAAATGGATTTGGACAGTATGCTTCCAAATGTTGATGTTGATAGGTCAGTACCTGAAATGGAATTCGATGCAAATGCGCAAAATCTTAAAGTTGCGATTGCTGATCCAAACATAGAAAGAGAAGGAAGGAAATTCAAAATAGGTATGCCAGATTTGCACTTCTCTGGGCCTAAGTTGCATAAACCAGACATAACACTTGACATACAGGCTCCAAAACTTAAAACCAGAGATAGCTATCTAACTAAACCTGAGGGTGACATCAAAGGTCCAAATGATGCTGTAGACATTGGAGTACCCACTTCTGAATTTGATGCCAAGGTTAAGGTTCCAGAAGTAGATTTGAATCTGACAGGGCCCGATGTAGATCTGGAAGGGCCTGATATCAAAGGCAAAAAGTTCAAATTCGGAATGCCAGATGTGCACTTCTCAGGACCCAAGATACACAAACCAGACATTAACTTTGACATGAAAGCTCCAAAACTGAAAGGAAAAGGTGATTCCCTACCTAAACTTGAAGGTGAATTTAAAGGGCCAGATGTGGATGTAAGTGTTGAAGGTCCAGATGTGGAAGGCCCCGATGGAAAGTTGAAAATGCCCAAATTCAAAATGCCTAAGTTTGGAATCTCCGGCCCAAAACTAACCGGTTCCGACATAGACTTGAATGCCACTGTGCCGAAGGCAGATATTGATGTTTCTCTAACTGATGCCCAGTTAGATGTCAGCGCTCCTGAAGTGAAGGTCGATCTTGATGCACCCGATCTTAATGTTTCTGGTCCTGATTTACATGGGAAAGGCTTCAAACTAAAAATGCCAGATTTTCATATCTCTGGACCCAAAATGCATGCACCCGATGTCAGCCTCGACTTCAAAGCTCCCCACTTCAAAACTAAAGGAGGCATTGCAACGCCCAAACTAGAAGGTGACATTCAAGGTCCGGACCTTGATGTAGATGTTTCTTTGCCAAAAGGAGACATTGGAATACCCACTTCTGAATTTGATGCCGAGGTTAAGGTTCCAGAAGTAGATTTGAATCTGACAGGGCCCGATGTAGATCTGGAAGGGCCTGATATCAAAGGCAAAAAGTTCAAATTCGGAATGCCAGATGTGCACTTCTCAGGACCCAAGATACACAAACCAGACATTAACTTTGACATAAAAGCTCCAAAACTGAAAGGAAAAGGTGACTCCCTACTTAAACTTGAAGGTGAATTTAAAGGGCCAGATGTGGATGTAAGTGTTGAAGGTCCAGATGTGGAAGGTCCCGATGGAAAGTTGAAAATGCCCAAATTCAAAATGCCCAAGTTTGGAATCTCCGGCCCAAAACTAACCGGTTCCGACATAGACTTGAATGCCCCTGTGCCAAAGGCAGATATTGATGTTTCTCTACCTGATGCCCAGTTAGATGTCAGTGCTCCTGAAGTGAAGGTCGATCTTGATGCACCCGATCTAAATGTTTCTGGTCCTGATGCACATGGGAAAGGCTTCAAACTAAAAATGCCAGATTTTCATATCTCTGGACCCAAAATGCATGCACCCGATGTCAGCCTCGACTTCAAAGCTCCCCACTTCAAAACTAAAGGAGGCATTGCAACGCCCAAACTAGAAGGTGACATTCAAGGTCCGGACCTTGATGTAGATGTTTCTTTGCCAAAAGGAGACATTGGAATACCCACTTCTGAATTTGATGCCGAGGTTAAGGTTCCAGAAGTAGATTTGAATCTGACAGGGCCCGATGTAGATCTGGAAGGGCCTGATATCAAAGGCAAAAAGTTCAAATTCGGAATGCCAGATGTGCACTTCTCAGGACCCAAGATACACAAACCAGACATTAACTTTGACATAAAAGCTCCAAAACTGAAAGGAAAAGGTGACTCCCTACTTAAACTTGAAGGTGAATTTAAAGGGCCAGATGTGGATGTAAGTGTTGAAGGTCCAGATGTGGAAGGTCCCGATGGAAAGTTGAAAATGCCCAAATTCAAAATGCCCAAGTTTGGAATCTCCGGCCCAAAACTAACCGGTTCCGACATAGACTTGAATGCCCCTGTGCCAAAGGCAGATATTGATGTTTCTCTACCTGATGCCCAGTTAGATGTCAGTGCTCCTGAAGTGAAGGTCGATCTTGATGCACCCGATCTAAATGTTTCTGGTCCTGATGCACATGGGAAAGGCTTCAAACTAAAAATGCCAGATTTTCATATCTCTGGAACCAAAATGCATGCACCCGATGTCAGCCTTGACTTCAAAGCTCCCCACTTCAAAACTAAAGGAGGAATTTCAACACCCAAACTAGAAGGTGACATTCAAGGTCCGGACCTTGATTTGGATGTTTCTTTGCCAAAAGGAGACATTGGAGTACCCACTTCTGAATTTGATGCCAAGGTTAAGGTTCCAGAAGTAGATTTGAATCTGACAGGGCCCGATGTAGATCTGGAAGGGCCTGATATCAAAGGCAAAAAGTTCAAATTTGGAATGCCAGATGTGCACTTCTCAGGACCCAAGATACACAAACCAGACATTAACTTTGACATAAAAGCTCCAAAACTGAAAGGAAAAGGTGACTCCCTACCTAAACTTGAAGGTGAATTTAAAGGGCCAGATGTGGATGTAAGTGTTGAAGGTCCAGATGTGGAAGGCCCCGATGGAAAGTTGAAAATGCCCAAATTCAAAATGCCCAAGTTTGGAATCTCCGGCCCAAAACTAACCGGTTCCGACATAGACTTGAATGCCACTGTGCCGAAGGCAGATATTGATGTTTCTCTACCTGATGCCCAGTTAGATGTCAGTGCTCCTGAAGTGAAGGTTGATTTTGATGCACCCGATCTTAATGTTTCTGGTCCTGATGCACATGGGAAAGGCTTCAAACTAAAAATGCCAGATTTTCATATCTCTGGACCCAAAATGCATGCACCCGATGTCAGCCTTGACTTCAAAGCTCCCCACTTCAAAACTAAAGGGGGCATTTCAACGCCCAAACTAGAAGGTGACATTCAAGGTCCGGACCTTGATTTGGATGTTTCTTTGCCAAAAGGAGAATTTGGAGTACCCACTTCTGAATTTGATGCCAAGGTTAAGGTTCCTGAAGTAGATTTGAATCTGACAGGGCCCGATGTAGATCTGGAAGGGCCTGATATCAAAGGCAAAAAGTTCAAATTCGGAATGCCAGATGTGCACTTCTCAGGACCCAAGATACACAAACCAGACATTAACTTTGACATAAAAGCTCCAAAACTGAAAGGAAAAGGTGACTCCCTACCTAAACTTGAAGGTGAATTTAAAGGGCCAGATGTGGATGTAAGTGTTGAAGGTCCAGATGTGGAAGGCCCCGATGGAAAGTTGAAAATGCCCAAATTCAAAATGCCCAAGTTTGGAATCTCCGGCCCAAAACTAACCGGTTCCGACATAGACTTGAATGCCACTGTGCCGAAGGCAGATATTGATGTTTCTCTACCTGATGCCCAGTTAGATGTCAGTGCTCCTGAAGTGAAGGTCGATCTTGATGCACCCGATCTTAATGTTTCTGGTCCTGATGCACATGGGAAAGGCTTCAAACTAAAAATGCCAGATTTTCATATCTCTGGACCCAAAATGCATGCACCCGATGTCAGCCTTGACTTCAAAGCTCCCCACTTCAAAACGAAAGGGGGCATTTCAACGCCCAAACTAGAAGGTGACATTCAAGGTCCGGACCTTGATTTGGATGTTTCTTTGCCAAAAGGAGAATTTGGAGTACCCACTTCTGAATTTGATGCCAAGGTAAAGGTTCCCGAAGTAGATTTGAATCTGACAGGGCCCGATGTAGATCTGGAAGGGCCTGATATCAAAGGCAAAAAGTTCAAATTCGGAATGCCAGATGTGCACTTCTCAGGACCCAAGATACACAAACCAGACATTAACTTTGACATAAAAGCTCCAAAACTGAAAGGAAAAGGTGACTCCCTACCTAAACTTGAAGGTGAATTTAAAGGGCCAGATGTGGATGTAAGTGTTGAAGGTCCAGATGTGGAAGGCCCCGATGGAAAGTTGAAAATGCCCAAATTCAAAATGCCCAAGTTTGGAATCTCCGGCCCAAAACTAACCGGTTCCGACATAGACTTGAATGCCACTGTGCCGAAGGCAGATATTGATGTTTCTCTACCTAATGCCCAGTTAGATGTCAGTGCTCCTGAAGTGAAGGTCGATCTTGATGCACCCGATCTTAATGTTTCTGGTCCTGATGCACATGGGAAAGGCTTCAAACTAAAAATGCCAGATTTTCATATCTCTGGACCCAAAATGCATGCACCCGATGTCAGCCTTGACTTCAAAGCTCCCCACTTCAAAACTAAAGGGGGCATTTCAACGCCCAAACTAGAAGGTGACATTCAAGGTCCGGACCTTGATTTGGATGTTTCTTTGCCAAAAGGAGAATTTGGAGTACCCACTTCTGAATTTGATGCCAAGGTTAAGGTTCCTGAAGTAGATTTGAATCTGACAGGGCCCGATGTAGATCTGGAAGGGCCTGATATCAAAGGCAAAAAGTTCAAATTCGGAATGCCAGATGTGCACTTCTCAGGACCCAAGATACACAAACCAGACATTAACTTTGACATAAAAGCTCCAAAACTGAAAGGAAAAGGTGACTCCCTACCTAAACTTGAAGGTGAATTTAAAGGGCCAGATGTGGATGTAAGTGTTGAAGGTCCAGATGTGGAAGGCCCCGATGGAAAGTTGAAAATGCCCAAATTCAAAATGCCCAAGTTTGGAATCTCCGGCCCAAAACTAACCGGTTCCGACATAGACTTGAATGCCACTGTGCCGAAGGCAGATATTGATGTTTCTCTACCTGATGCCCAGTTAGATGTCAGTGCTCCTGAAGTGAAGGTCGATATTGATGCACCCGATCTTAATGTTTCTGGTCCTGATGCACATGGGAAAGGCTTCAAACTAAAAATGCCAGATTTTCATATCTCTGGACCCAAAATGCATGCACCCGATGTCAGCCTTGACTTCAAAGCTCCCCACTTCAAAACGAAAGGGGGCATTTCAACGCCCAAACTAGAAGGTGACATTCAAGGTCCGGACCTTGATTTGGATGTTTCTTTGCCAAAAGGAGAATTTGGAGTACCCACTTCTGAATTTGATGCCAAGGTAAAGGTTCCCGAAGTAGATTTGAATCTGACAGGGCCCGATGTAGATCTGGAAGGGCCTGATATCAAAGGCAAAAAGTTCAAATTCGGAATGCCAGATGTGCACTTCTCAGGACCCAAGATACACAAACCAGACATTAACTTTGACATAAAAGCTCCAAAACTGAAAGGAAAAGGTGACTCCCTACCTAAACTTGAAGGTGAATTTAAAGGGCCAGATGTGGATGTAAGTGTTGAAGGTCCAGATGTGGAAGGCCCCGATGGAAAGTTGAAAATGCCCAAATTCAAAATGCCCAAGTTTGGAATCTCCGGCCCAAAACTAACCGGTTCCGACATAGACTTGAATGCCACTGTGCCGAAGGCAGATATTGATGTTTCTCTACCTGATGCCCAGTTAGATGTCAGCGCTCCTGAAGTGAAGGTCGATATTGATGCACCCGATCTTAATGTTTCTGGTCCTGATGCACATGGGAAAGGCTTCAAACTAAAAATGCCAGATTTTCATATCTCTGGACCCAAAATGCATGCACCCGATGTCAGCCTTGACTTCAAAGCTCCCCACTTCAAAACTAAAGGGGGCATTTCAACGCCCAAACTAGAAGGTGACATTCAAGGTCCGGACCTTGATTTGGATGTTTCTTTGCCAAAAGGAGACATTGGAGTACCCACTTCTGAATTTGATGCCAAGGATAAGGTTCCCGAAGTAGATTTGAATCTGACAGGGCCCGATGTAGATCTGGAAGGGCCTGATATCAAAGGCAAAAAGTTCAAATTCGGAATGCCAGATGTGCACTTCTCAGGACCCAAGATACACAAACCAGACATTAACTTTGACATAAAAGCTCCAAAACTGAAAGGAAAAGGTGACTCCCTACCTAAACTTGAAGGTGAATTTAAAGGGCCAGATGTGGATGTAAGTGTTGAAGGTCCGGATGTGGAAGGTCCCGATGGAAAGTTGAAAATGCCCAAATTCAAAATGCCCAAGTTTGGAATCTCCGGCCCAAAACTAACCGGTTCCGACATAGACTTGAATGCCACTGTGCCGAAGGCAGATATTGATGTTTCTCTACCTGATGCCCAGTTAGATGTCAGTGCTCCTGAAGTGAAGGTCGATCTTGATGCACCCGATCTTAATGTTTCTGGTCCTGATGCACATGGGAAAGGCTTCAAACTAAAAATGCCAGATTTTCATATCTCTGGACCCAAAATGCATGCACCCGATGTCAGCCTTGACTTCAAAGCTCCCCACTTCAAAACTAAAGGGGGCATTTCAACGCCCAAACTAGAAGGTGACATTCAAGGTCCAGACCTTGATTTGGATGTTTCTTTGCCAAAAGGAGACATTGGAATACCCACTTCTGAATTTGATGCCAAGGTTAAGGTTCCCGAAGTAGATTTGAATCTGACAGGGCCCGATGTAGATCTGGAAGGGCCTGATATCAAAGGCAAAAAGTTCAAATTCGGAATGCCAGATGTGCACTTCTCAGGACCCAAGATACACAAACCAGACATTAACTTTGATATAAAAGCTCCAAAACTGAAAGGAAAAGGTGATTCCCTACCTAAACTTGAAGGTGAATTTAAAGGGCCAGATGTGGATGTAAGTGTTGAAGGTCCAGATGTGGAAGGTCCCGATGGAAAGTTGAAAATGCCCAAATTCAAAATGCCCAAGTTTGGAATCTCCGGCCCAAAACTAACCGGTTCCGACATAGACTTGAATGCCACTGTGCCGAAGGCAGATATTGATGTTTCTCTACCTGATGCCCAGTTAGATGTCAGTGCTCCTGAAGTGAAGGTCGATCTTGATGCACCCGATCTTAATGTTTCTGGTCCTGATGCACATGGGAAAGGCTTCAAACTAAAAATGCCAGATTTTCATATCTCTGGACCCAAAATGCATGCACCCGATGTCAGCCTTGACTTCAAAGCTCCCCACTTCAAAACTAAAGGGGGCATTTCAACGCCCAAACTAGAAGGTGACATTCAAGGTCCAGACCTTGATTTGGATGTTTCTTTGCCAAAAGGAGACATTGGAATACCCACTTCTGAATTTGATGCCAAGGTTAAGGTTCCCGAAGTAGATTTGAATCTGACAGGGCCCGATGTAGATCTGGAAGGGCCTGATATCAAAGGCAAAAAGTTCAAATTCGGAATGCCAGATGTGCACTTCTCAGGACCCAAGATACACAAACCAGATATTAACTTTGACATAAAAGCTCCAAAACTGAAAGGAAAAGGTGACTCCCTACCTAAACTTGAAGGTGAATTTAAAGGGCCAGATGTGGATGTAAGTGTTGAAGGTCCAGATGTGGAAGGCCCCGATGGAAAGTTGAAAATGCCCAAATTCAAAATGCCCAAGTTTGGGATCTCCGGCCCAAAACTAACCGGTTCCGACATAGACTTGAATGCCACTGTGCCGAAGGCAGATATTGATGTTTCTCTACCTGATGCCCAGTTAGATGTCAGCGCTCCTGAAGTGAAGGTCGATCTTGATGCACCCGATCTTAATGTTTCTGGTCCTGATGCACATGGGAAAGGCTTCAAACTAAAAATGCCAGATTTTCATATCTCTGGACCCAAAATGCATGCACCCGATGTCAGCCTTGACTTCAAAGCTCCCCACTTCAAAACTAAAGGGGGCATTTCAACGCCCAAACTAGAAGGTGACATTCAAGGTCCAGGACCTTGATTTGGATGTTTCTTTGCCAAAAGGAGACATTGGAATACCCACTTCTGAATTTGATGCCAAGGTTAAGGTTCCCGAAGTAGATTTGAATCTGACAGGGCCCGATGTAGATCTGGAAGGGCCTGATATCAAAGGCAAAAAGTTTCAAATTCGGAATGCCAGATGTGCACTTCTCAGGACCCAAGATACACAAACCAGACATTAACTTTGATATAAAAGCTCCAAAACTGAAAGGAAAAGGTGACTCCCTACCTAAACTTGAAGGTGAATTTAAAGGGCCAGATGTGGATGTAAGTGTTGAAGGTCCAGATGTGGAAGGTCCCGATGGAAAGTTGAAAATGCCCAAATTCAAAATGCCCAAGTTTGGAATCTCCGGCCCAAAACTAACCGGTTCCGACATAGACTTGAATGCCACTGTGCCGAAGGCAGATATTGATGTTTCTCTACCTGATGCCCAGTTAGATGTCAGTGCTCCTGAAGTGAAGGTCGATCTTGATGCACCCGATCTTAATGTTTCTGGTCCTGATGCACATGGGAAAGGCTTCAAACTAAAAATGCCAGATTTTCATATCTCTGGACCCAAAATGCATGCACCCGATGTCAGCCTTGACTTCAAAGCTCCCCACTTCAAAACTAAAGGAGGAATTTCAACACCCAAACTAGAAGGTGACATTCAAGGTCCGGACCTTGATTTGGATGTTTCTTTGCCAAAAGGAGACATTGGAGTACCCACTTCTGAATTTGATGCCAAGGTTAAGGTTCCAGAAGTAGATTTGAATCTGACAGGGCCCGATGTAGATCTGGAAGGGCCTGATATCAAAGGCAAAAAGTTCAAATTCGGAATGCCAGATGTGCACTTCTCAGGACCCAAGATACACAAACCAGATATTAACTTTGACATAAAAGCTCCAAAACTGAAAGGAAAAGGTGACTCCCTACCTAAACTTGAAGGTGAATTTAAAGGGCCAGATGTGGATGTAAGTGTTGAAGGTCCAGATGTGGAAGGCCCCGATGGAAAGTTGAAAATGCCCAAATTCAAAATGCCCAAGTTTGGGATCTCCGGCCCAAAACTAACCGGTTCCGACATAGACTTGAATGCCACTGTGCCGAAGGCAGATATTGATGTTTCTCTACCTGATGCCCAGTTAGCTGTCAGTGCTCCTGAAGTGAAGGTCGATCTTGATGCACCCGATCTTAATGTTTCTGGTCCTGATGCACATGGGAAAGGCTTCAAACTAAAAATGCCAGATTTTCATATCTCTGGACCCAAAATGCATGCACCCGATGTCAGCCTTGACTTCAAAGCTCCCCACTTCAAAACTAAAGGGGGCATTTCAACGCCCAAACTAGAAGGTGACATTCAAGGTCCAGACCTTGATTTGGATGTTTCTTTGCCAAAAGGAGACATTGGAATACCCACTTCTGAATTTGATGCCAAGGTTAAGGTTCCCGAAGTAGATTTGAATCTGACAGGGCCCGATGTAGATCTGGAAGGGCCTGATATCAAAGGCAAAAAGTTCAAATTCGGAATGCCAGATGTGCACTTCTCAGGACCCAAGATACACAAACCAGACATTAACTTTGATATAAAAGCTCCAAAACTGAAAGGAAAAGGTGACTCCCTACCTAAACTTGAAGGTGAATTTAAAGGGCCAGATGTGGATGTAAGTGTTGAAGGTCCAGATGTGGAAGGTCCCGATGGAAAGTTGAAAATGCCCAAATTCAAAATGCCCAAGTTTGGAATCTCCGGCCCAAAACTAACCGGTTCCGACATAGACTTGAATGCCACTGTGCCGAAGGCAGATATTGATGTTTCTCTACCTGATGCCCAGTTAGATGTCAGTGCTCCTGAAGTGAAGGTCGATCTTGATGCACCCGATCTTAATGTTTCTGGTCCTGATGCACATGGGAAAGGCTTCAAACTAAAAATGCCAGATTTTCATATCTCTGGACCCAAAATGCATGCACCCGATGTCAGCCTTGACTTCAAAGCTCCCCACTTCAAAACTAAAGGAGGAATTTCAACACCCAAACTAGAAGGTGACATTCAAGGTCCGGACCTTGATTTGGATGTTTCTTTGCCAAAAGGAGACATTGGAGTACCCACTTCTGAATTTGATGCCAAGGTTAAGGTTCCAGAAGTAGATTTGAATCTGACAGGGCCCGATGTAGATCTGGAAGGGCCTGATATCAAAGGCAAAAAGTTCAAATTCGGAATGCCAGATGTGCACTTCTCAGGACCCAAGATACACAAACCAGATATTAACTTTGACATAAAAGCTCCAAAACTGAAAGGAAAAGGTGACTCCCTACCTAAACTTGAAGGTGAATTTAAAGGGCCAGATGTGGATGTAAGTGTTGAAGGTCCAGATGTGGAAGGCCCCGATGGAAAGTTGAAAATGCCCAAATTCAAAATGCCCAAGTTTGGGATCTCCGGCCCAAAACTAACCGGTTCCGACATAGACTTGAATGCCACTGTGCCGAAGGCAGATATTGATGTTTCTCTACCTGATGCCCAGTTAGATGTCAGTGCTCCTGAAGTGAAGGTCGATCTTGATGCACCCGATCTTAATGTTTCTGGTCCTGATGCACATGGGAAAGGCTTCAAACTAAAAATGCCAGATTTTCATATCTCTGGACCCAAAATGCATGCACCCGATGTCAGCCTTGACTTCAAAGCTCCCCACTTCAAAACTAAAGGAGGCATTTCAACACCCAAACTAGAAGGTGACATTCAAGGTCCGGACCTTGATTTGGATGTTTCTTTGCCAAAAGTAGACATTGGAATACCCACTTCTGAATTTGATGCCAAGGTTAAGGTTCCAGAAGTAGATTTGAATCTGACAGGGCCCGATGTAGATCTGGAAGGGCCTGATATCAAAGGCAAAAAGTTCAAATTCGGAATGCCAGATGTGCACTTCTCAGGACCCAAGATACACAAACCAGATATTAACTTTGACATAAAAGCTCCAAAACTGAAAGGAAAAGGTGACTCCCTACCTAAACTTGAAGGTGAATTTAAAGGGCCAGATGTGGATGTAAGTGTTGAAGGTCCAGATGTGGAAGGCCCCGATGGAAAGTTGAAAATGCCCAAATTCAAAATGCCCAAGTTTGGAATCTCCGGCCCAAAACTAACCGGTTCCGACATAGACTTGAATGCCACTGTGCCGAAGGCAGATATTGATGTTTCTCTACCTGATGCCCAGTTAGATGTCAGTGCTCCTGAAGTGAAGGTCGATCTTGATGCACCCGATCTTAATGTTTCTGGTCCTGATGCACATGGGAAAGGCTTCAAGCTAAAAATGCCAGATTTTCATATCTCTGGACCAAAAATGCATGCACCCGATGTCAGCCTTGACTTCAAAGCTCCCCACTTCAAAACGAAAGGGGGCATTTCAACGCCCAAACTAGAAGGTGACATTCAAGGTCCGGACCTTGATTTGGATGTTTCTTTGCCAAAAGGAGACATTGGAGTACCCACTTCTGAATTTGATGCCAAGGTTAAGGTTCCAGAAGTAGATTTGAATCTGACAGGGCCCGATGTAGATCTGGAAGGGCCTGATATCAAAGGCAAAAAGTTCAAATTCGGAATGCCAGATGTGCACTTCTCAGGACCCAAGATACACAAACCAGATATTAACTTTGACATAAAAGCTCCAAAACTGAAAGGAAAAGGTGACTCCCTACCTAAACTTGAAGGTGAATTTAAAGGGCCAGATGTGGATGTAAGTGTTGAAGGTCCAGATGTGGAAGGCCCTGATGGAAAGTTGAAAATGCCCAAATTCAAAATGCCCAAGTTTGGAATCTCCGGCCCAAAACTAACCGGTTCCGACATAGACTTGAATGCCACTGTGCCGAAGGCAGATATTGATGTTTCTCTACCTGATGCCCAGTTAGATGTCAGTGCTCCTGAAGTGAAGGTCGATCTTGATGCACCCGATCTTAATGTTTCTGGTCCTGATGCACATGGGAAAGGCTTCAAACTAAAAATGCCAGATTTTCATATCTCTGGACCCAAAATGCATGCACCCGATGTCAGCCTTGACTTCAAAGCTCCCCACTTCAAAACTAAAGGAGGAATTTCAACACCCAAACTAGAAGGTGACTTTCAAGGTCCGGACCTTGATTTGGATGTTTCTTTGCCAAAAGGAGACATTGGAATACCCACTTCTGAATTTAATGCCAAGGTTAAGGTTCCAGAAGTAGATTTGAATCTGACAGGGCCTGATGTAGATCTGGAAGGGCCTGATATCAAAGGCAAAAAGTTCAAATTCGGAATGCCAGATGTGCACTTCTCAGGACCCAAGATACACAAACCAGACATTAACTTTGACATAAAAGCTCCAAAACTGAAAGGAAAAGGTGACTCCCTACCTAAACTTGAAGGTGAATTTAAAGGGCCAGATGTGGATGTAAGTGTTGAAGGTCCAGATGTGGAAGGCCCTGATGGAAAGTTGAAAATGCCCAAATTCAAAATGCCCAAGTTTGGAATCTCCGGCCCAAAACTAACTGGTTCCGACATAGACTTGAATGCCACTGTGCCGAAGGCAGATATTGATGTTTCTCTACCTGATGCCCAGTTAGATGTCAGTGCTCCTGAAGTGAAGGTCGATCTTGATGCACCCGATCTTAATGTTTCTGGTCCTGATGCACATGGGAAAGGCTTCAAACTAAAATGCCAGATTTTCATATCTCTGGACCCAAAATGCATGCACCCGATGTCAGCCTTGACTTCAAAGCTCCCCACTTCAAAACGAAAGGGGGCATTTCAACGCCCAAACTAGAAGGTGACATTCAAGGTCCGGACCTTGATTTGGATGTTTCTTTGCCAAAAGGAGACATTGGAGTACCCACTTCTGAATTTGATGCCAAGGTTAAGGTTCCAGAAGTAGATTTGAATCTGACAGGGCCCGATGTAGATCTGGAAGGGCCTGATATCAAAGGCAAAAAGTTCAAATTCGGAATGCCAGATGTGCACTTCTCAGGACCCAAGATACACAAACCAGACATTAACTTTGACATAAAAGCTCCAAAACTGAAAGGAAAAGGTGACTCCCTACCTAAACTTGAAGGTGAATTTAAAGGGCCAGATGTGGATGTAAGTGTTGAAGGTCCAGATGTGGAAGGCCCCGATGGAAAGTTGAAAATGCCCAAATTCAAAATGCCCAAGTTTGGAATCTCCGGCCCAAAACTAACCGGTTCCGACATAGACTTGAATGCCACTGTGCCGAAGGCAGATATTGATGTTTCTCTACCTGATGCCCAGTTAGCTGTCAGTGCTCCTGAAGTGAAGGTCGATCTTGATGCACCCGATCTTAATGTTTCTGGTCCTGATGCACATGGGAAAGGCTTCAAACTAAAAATGCCAGATTTTCATATCTCTGGACCCAAAATGCATGCACCCGATGTCAGCCTTGACTTCAAAGCTCCCCACTTCAAAACGAAAGGGGGCATTTCAACGCCCAAACTAGAAGGTGACATTCAAGGTCCGGACCTTGATTTGGATGTTTCTTTGCCAAAAGGAGACATTGGAGTACCCACTTCTGAATTTGATGCCAAGGTTAAGGTTCCAGAAGTAGATTTGAATCTGACAGGGCCCGATGTAGATCTGGAAGGGCCTGATATCAAAGGCAAAAAGTTCAAATTCGGAATGCCAGATGTGCACTTCTCAGGACCCAAGATACACAAACCAGACATTAACTTTGACATAAAAGCTCCAAAACTGAAAGGAAAAGGTGACTCCCTACCTAAACTTGAAGGTGAATTTAAAGGGCCAGATGTGGATGTAAGTGTTGAAGGTCCAGATGTGGAAGGCCCCGATGGAAAGTTGAAAATGCCCAAATTCAAAATGCCCAAGTTTGGAATCTCCGGCCCAAAACTAACCGGTTCCGACATAGACTTGAATGCCACTGTGCCGAAGGCAGATATTGATGTTTCTCTACCTGATGCCCAGTTAGATGTCAGCGCTCCTGAAGTGAAGGTCGATCTTGATGCACCCGATCTTAATGTTTCTGGTCCTGATGCACATGGGAAAGGCTTCAAACTAAAAATGCCAGATTTTCATATCTCTGGACCCAAAATGCATGCACCCGATGTCAGCCTTGACTTCAAAGCTCCCCACTTCAAAACTAAAGGAGGAATTTCAACACCCAAACTAGAAGGTGACATTCAAGGTCCGGACCTTGATTTGGATGTTTCTTTGCCAAAAGGAGACATTGGAATACCTACTTCTGAATTTGATGCCAAGGTTAAGGTTCCAGAAGTAGATTTGAATCTGACAGGGCCCGATGTAGATCTGGAAGGGCCTGATATCAAAGGCAAAAAGTTCAAATTCGGAATGCCAGATGTGCACTTCTCAGGACCCAAGATACACAAACCAGACATTAACTTTGACATAAAAGCTCCAAAACTGAAAGGAAAAGGTGACTCCCTACCTAAACTTGAAGGTGAATTTAAAGGGCCAGATGTGGATGTAAGTGTTGAAGGTCCAGATGTGGAAGGCCCCGATGGAAAGTTGAAAATGCCCAAATTCAAAATGCCCAAGTTTGGAATCTCCGGCCCAAAACTAACCGGTTCCGACATAGACTTGAATGCCACTGTGCCGAAGGCAGATATTGATGTTTCTCTACCTGATGCCCAGTTAGATGTCAGTGCTCCTGAAGTGAAGGTCGATCTTGATGCACCCGATCTTAATGTTTCTGGTCCTGATGCACATGGGAAAGGCTTCAAACTAAAAATGCCAGATTTTCATATCTCTGGACCCAAAATGCATGCACCCGATGTCAGCCTTGACTTCAAAGCTCCCCACTTCAAAACGAAAGGGGGCATGTCAACGCCCAAACTAGAAGGTGACATTCAAGGTCCGGACCTTGATTTGGATGTTTCTTTGCCAAAAGGAGACATTGGAGTACCCACTTCTGAATTTGATGCCAAGGTTAAGGTTCCCGAAGTAGATTTGAATCTAACAGGGCCCGATGTAGATCTGGAAGGGCCTGATATCAAAGGCAAAAAGTTCAAATTTGGAATGCCAGATGTGCACTTCTCAGGACCCAAGATACACAAACCAGACATTAACTTTGACATAAAAGCTCCAAAACTGAAAGGAAAAGGTGACTCCCTACCTAAACTTGAAGGTGAATTTAAAGGGCCAGATGTGGATGTAAGTGTTGAAGGTCCAGATGTGGAAGGCCCCGATGGAAAGTTGAAAATGCCCAAATTCAAAATGCCCAAGTTTGGAATCTCCGGCCCAAAACTAACCGGTTCCGACATAGACTTGAATGTCACTGTGCCGAAGACAGATATTGATGTTTCTCTACCTGATGCCCAGTTAGATGTCAGCGCTCCTGAAGTGAAGGTCGATCTTGATGCACCCGATCTTAATATTTCTGGTCCTGATGCACATGGGAAAGGCTTCAAACTAAAAATGCCAGATTTTCATATCTCTGGACCCAAAATGCATGCACCCGATGTCAGCCTTGACTTCAAAGCTCCCCACTTCAAAACTAAAGGAGGAATTTCAACACCCAAACTAGAAGGTGACATTCAAGGTCCGGACCTTGATTTGGATGTTTCTTTGCCAAAAGGAGACATTGGAATACCTACTTCTGAATTTGATGCCAAGGTTAAGGTTCCAGAAGTAGATTTGAATCTGACAGGGCCCGATGTAGATCTGGAAGGGCCTGATATCAAAGGCAAAAAGTTCAAATTCGGAATGCCAGATGTGCACTTCTCAGGACCCAAGATACACAAACCAGACATTAACTTTGACATAAAAGCTCCAAAACTGAAAGGAAAAGGTGACTCCCTACCTAAACTTGAAGGTGAATTTAAAGGGCCAGATGTGGATGTAAGTGTTGAAGGTCCAGATGTGGAAGGCCCCGATGGAAAGTTGAAAATGCCCAAATTCAAAATGCCCAAGTTTGGAATCTCCGGCCCAAAACTAACCGGTTCCGACATAGACTTGAATGCCACTGTGCCGAAGGCAGATATTGATGTTTCTCTACCTGATGCCCAGTTAGATGTCAGTGCTCCTGAAGTGAAGGTCGATCTTGATGCACCCGATCTTAATGTTTCTGGTTCTGATGCACATGGGAAAGGCTTCAAACTAAAAATGCCAGATTTTCATATCTCTGGACCCAAAATGCATGCACCCGATGTCAGCCTTGACTTCAAAGCTCCCCACTTCAAAACTAAAGGGGGCATTTCAACGCCCAAACTAGAAGGTGACATTCAAGGTCCGGACCTTGATTTGGATGTTTCTTTGCCAAAAGGAGACATTGGAGTACCCACTTCTGAATTTGATGCCAAGGTTAAGGTTCCCGAAGTAGATTTGAATCTGACAGGGCCTGATGTAGATCTGGAAGGGCCTGATATCAAAGGCAAAAAGTTCAAATTCGGAATGCCAGATGTGCACTTCTCAGGACCCAAGATACACAAACCAGACATTAACTTTGACATAAAAGCTCCAAAACTGAAAGGAAAAGGTGACTCCCTACCTAAACTTGAAGGTGAATTTAAAGGGCCAGATGTGGATGTAAGTGTTGAAGGTCCAGATGTGGAAGGCCCCGATGGAAAGTTGAAAATGCCCAAATTCAAAATGCCCAAGTTTGGAATCTCCGGCCCAAAACTAACCGGTTCTGACATAGACTTGAATGCCACTGTGCCGAAGGCAGATATTGATGTTTCTCTACCTGATGCCCAGTTAGATGTCAACGCTCCTGAAGTGAAGGTCGATCTTGAAGCACCTGATCTAAATCTTTCTGGTCCTGATGCACGTGGGAAAGGCTTCAAACTAAAATTGCCAGAATTCCATATCTCTGGACCCAAAATGCATGGACCCGATGTCAGCCTTGACTTCAAAGCTCCCCACTTCAAAACTAAAGGAGGCATTTCAACGCCCAAACTAGAAGGTGCCACTGTGCCGAAGGCAGATATTGATGTTTCTCTACCTGATGCCCAGTTAGATGTCAGTGCTCCTGACGTGAAAGTGGATCTTGATGCACCCGATCTAAATCTTTCTGGTCCTGATGCACGTGGGAAAGGCTTCAAACTAAAAATGCCAGAATTCCATATCTCTGGACCCAAAATGCATGGACCCGATATCAGCCTTGACTTCAAAGCTCCCCATTTTAAAACTAAAGGAGGCATTTCACCACCAAAACTAGAAGGTGACATTCAAGGTCCGGACCATGATTTGGATGTTTCTTTGCCAAAAGGAAACATTGGAGTACCCACTTCTGAATTTGATGCCCAGGTTAAGGTTCCAGAATTAGATTTGAATCTGACAGGGCCCGATGTAGATCTGGAAGGGCCTGATATCAAAGGCAAAAAGTTCAAATTCGGAATGCCAGATGTGCATTTCTCAGGACCCAAGATACACAAACCAGACATTAACTTTGACATAAAAGCTCCAAAACTGAAAGGAACAGGTGATTCCCTACCTAAACTTGAAGGTGACTTTAAAGGGCCAGATGTGGATGTAAGTGTTGAAGGTCCAGATGTGGAAGGTCCCGATGGAAAGTTGAAAATGCCCAAATTCAAAATGCCCAAGTTTGGAATCTCCGGCCCAAAACTAACCGGTTCCGACATAGACTTGAATGCCACTGTGCCGAAGGCAGATATTGATGTTTCTCTACCTGAAGTCCAGTTAGATGTCAGTGCTCCTGACGTGAAAGTGGATCTTGATGCACCCGATCTAAATCTTTCTGGTCCTGATGCACGTGGGAAAGGCTTCAAACTAAAAATGCCAGAATTCCATATCTCTGGACCCAAAATGCATGGACCCGATGTTAGCCTTGACTTCAAAGCTCCCCATTTTAAAACTAAAGGAGACATTTCAACACCCAAAGTAGAAGGTGACATTACAGGGCCAGACCTCAATTTGGATGTTTCTTTACCAAAAGGTGACACTGCAGCAACCAATGTTGACATTGATGCCAAGGTAACAGTTCCAGATGCAGATTTGAATGTTACTGTGCCAGATTTTACACGTGAAGTACCTGATATTAAAGGTAAGAAATTTAAATTGAGCTTGCCGGATGTGCACTTTTCAGGACCTAAATTGCATAAGTTAGATACCAAAGGACCAAAACTTAAATCTAAGGGAGGTTCTTTACCCACTTCCCAGGGAGATATGAAAGAGCTACATCTGGACTTTGGTGCTGAAGGGTCTGATATTCATACCGAAAGTCCAGATGGAAAGTTTAAAATGCACAAATTGAAAAAAACCCAATTTGGAATTACTGGCCCAAAACTAAAAGGTTCTAATGTAGATGTTACTTTACCCAAGACAGACCTTAGTGTGCTTACACATGACATCACACTTGATAGCAGTGCAACCGATGTTAATCTAACAGATACTAGCCTAGAAGGACCAGGTGTTAAAACTAAACGATTAAACATTAAAATGCCAGACTTACACCTATCTGGACCAAAGATTCATGCCCCTGATATTAATTTTGACCTGAAAGATCCTCACTTTAACTCTAAAGGTAGCGTTTCAACACCAAATTTAGAAGGTAACGTTCAAGCGCCTACCACTGAAATTCCTAAAATAGGTTCAGATGTGGAAGTGCAAGGAATCAAAGGGAAGCATAAAATGCCGAGAGTAAAGCTTCCTAAATTTAGTATTTCATCTCCCACTGTGAAATCACCAGATGTGGATGTGGAATTGCAAAAGGGTGATATTGACATACTTCCTGAACATGAAGCTCATTCAAATCTACCTGCTAGAGATGTGAATGTATCTGGTCCAGATGAAGAATTGCAACATTCTGATATGAAAGGAAAGAAATTTAAACTAAGCATGCCAGATGTAAAATTTTCAGGGCCCAAAATACATAAACCAGACATTAAAGTAAAAAGCAGTTCCCTTCCTGCAAGAGAGAGTGACAGAGGTAAAAATCTAGATTTCAATGCTGAAGAAGCAGCTCTTGATATTGAAATCTCTGGAGAAAAATTTAAAATTCCAAAAGTGCACGTGCCATCGTTTGACATTTCTGGTCCAAAAATTCACGCCCCAGATGTAGATATTTCCCTACCAAAATCAAAAATTGACACAGCGCTCCCTAACTTGGATGTGAATCTTAAATCTTCTCAAGGAGATATTAAGGTAGCTGGCCCGGTTGTGGATTATGAAAGGCAGGATATTGAGGGAAAGGGACAGAAATTTAAATTGCCAACACTTAATATTTCAGGACCTAAAATCTATGCTCCAGATATAAGCATTGATCTTAAATCTCCAAAAGGAAAAGGTGAAGCAGATACTTACATGCGAAAACCAGAAGAAAATACAACACTCCCTCATTCTGAGTTAAGCTTTAAAGGCTTAGGTCTTGACACCGTAATTACAGATGACACGTATAATATTCACAAAGTAACATCTAGATTTGGTGTCACAGGACCAAAAATACATGGACCTGATATAGATATTACATTGCCAAAATCTGACATTGACATTGCAGCACCTGATCGAGACATGAGCTTCAATGCATTTAAAGGGAGTAGCAAAATAACAGGGCCTTATGTAGAACACATTTCTGATGAAAAAGGCATAAACAAAATACAAGTTGGAGAACCAAAAAGTCATACACCAGATATTGACATTTCTCTGAAAGGTACAAAACTCACAGATGTCGGGAATATTTTAAAACCCATAATAGGTGATATTAAAGTTCAAGAGACACAATATACCATCGATGAACAATATATTAAAATTGGGAGTTCTGAAGAGATTAAAAAACCCCGAATTAAAATGCCTACAATTGGAATTTCTGGTCAAAAAATGCACACATCTGCCCTGAAAATGTCATCCCATGAATTCGAGCATGTGATAAAAGACCCAAATCTGAAAAGTGACGTGAATGTCCATGGACAAAAAGAATATATAACTGTTGAAGGACACAACGTTAAATTTGACTCTGCAGGTGTTGATGGTAAAGGTGATGAAAGCAAACCGAAGATGCCAAAAATTAAATTCCCAAAGACTGGTGGAAAAGCAGTCGAAATAGGAATGCCAGAGGTCAGTGATGCATCATTGGATAATTTTTGTGTGGATAAAATTGTACTTGATGCACCATTGAGCTCTGCAGATTTATCTGACATTGGCTCAGAAGATGTGTCTGTAACTTTAGATGGTAGAAATGTGAAAGTGAAAGATGGAAAAATAAGTTTTCCAAAGTTGGGAAAGTTAAGTAGTAAGATACAAGATGATGATGAACCAACAATTAAAGATCAGTCGAAACAATATATTGCAACTGATGAAGAAAGTGCCTCTGTACAATCTGTTGAAGATAGTAGGTCAAGTGTAGACAGTAAGGGAAAGAAATCAAAATTTAAACTTCCAAAACTTGGTTTTACAACAAGTGCTCCTACACCAAATGTCTTACATAAAATATCTACAGGGGAAATGTTCCAAGGTTCAATAGACATGAAATCAGATGACATGACCGTAGACCCATCAGCTGCTCATACAAAAATAGATATTAAAGAAAGAACTGTACACATGAAAGGCCCCGATGCTAATACATCCGACTGTGTTGTGATCTCCAAGGCGAGAACTGAATTAGTGTCAGATGTTGGGGAATTTGAATCCGTATTAGTCGAAAAACCAGAAACGGCTTTATCTGTGCCAAGTGCTCTGAATGTAAAAGAAAAAGTATCCAGTACTGTGACAGAATCAACAGCTTCATCTACAGAGCACTTTCAATTCTTAAAGCAGGCAGTATCTGTTACTGAGCAAACAAGCAAAGGCACCTTTAATGTCTCTGAAATGGGGACTCCGTCAAGGCAATGGGACATAGATATACCTGCTGAGAGCAGGACACTCATTGGTCACGATGAGGCGAGTATGAATCTTGAGTCGAGGCATTACACTATGCAAATGCCTGGCTCCATAGCATTTTCTACAATGAGATCGGAACAAACAAAGAAGGAGGCCCACACATTTTCACAAAGCAGTGGGTCCACGACAACAACTCACGGGGGTTCAAAGTTAACAACAGTCGAACAACGGACCCAGTATTCCTCCTCTGTCAAAACAGAAAGCAGGGTACAGAGAGTAACAGAAGCGGTCATCCGAGAGGGAATGGTCGAATTCTCATCTCCATCGGTACCGATCGAATTCTCATCTCCATCGGTACCGATCGAATTCTCATCTTCATCGGTACCGATCGAATTCATGATTAAAAGGGAAGATACATCTTCAGAGTCCAGGGAAGAGAAGTCATGAATTGTGATTATAAAAAAAAAAACGTGTATGCTTTGAAATACTGTAAGATTAAAGCAATGCTGGAATTATTTTTAAGTCATCTGCTAGATAAAAAAATGCTATATGTACACTAAATAACTTTGCATTTAGGCACAATGTATGGAGAAAATCTGTTATTCACTGTAATAATTTCACTGTTAATGAATGTTAAATCAATTGTGTTTTTTTATGTTTTTCATAGTTTTAGCCTTTTACATTATCACTTTGCAGTCATGCAAGATTATTGGTATGTTGTCATTTTATCTTTGGTATGTTATTGGTATTTTATTTTTGTATATTTTTTTTGTTTGTCATGTGTAAGAGATTTACAACTGTGTATTCAAATGGCAAAGAGCTTTTTGCAATGAATAAAATATCACACTTGCTCATGCAAATTGGCTCAAAAGCAGAACTAGCATGGAAATTGTATATAGGTCTCATTGGATCCTGAATTAAAGTATGGAAACTGCAAAGAATATTAACAGTGCACTGCCAATATCCATCATATATATTGCTAATTACATATTAAACAATTTGCGCAAAACACGTTGAAATATTTGTATTTTTGTTGACTGCGATGTGTTCCCCATATCTTTATTGGATTCCTTAAAACGTAGCATATCGGAGGAATAATAATTAAATGATGTCATTTGATGATGGCGGATAGGGAGACAAAGGCCACCTTTGATAAAAAGCTGTATCGCAAAAGTGGTTGCCTTTTTTGAAATAAGAAATGCCAGGCGAGTTACTTAGCTGCAA